GGCGCAACATCGAGGGCCGAAGGGCCTGTACTGCGCTGTAATGTTCTGTGATCTATGTTCTATAAATGCAGGTGTTCGTGCAGCAACTCAAGAGCTGAAGCATGAACCCCATTTCCCATGCTGACCAATCTATCTATAAAGTCCGAAACCCCACGTTCCACATCTGGCGCCATATACTATACCCCAAGAACACTGCCCATAACAAAATGAAATGCACTGAGATGACAAACAGTAAAATTATGGATTTCCCCCAGTCGCTATTTCTGGATCTCTTGAATTCGCAGTGCGCTCTGCTGCTTACTAAAATGTGTCTGACTGACAATATTGAGAAGCAAAAGTAGAACAACTGGAAGTCCAGCAGTTAGAATGTGATGGAGGAGCTCGATTGTTCTCCAGATCCAAAAATACCGAACACCCTACTGTAACGCACAAAACCATGGGTAGTTCATCAGCCAATATTTACCACTGTACATTAAGTCCGAGGTGATGTTCTTCGACCGGTTTAGCACAGTGACTGTTCCGAGAATATTAGCTGTGGCTTTCTCGACACAATATGTATGTTTCAACTTCTGACAACAAATAGCCACAAATCTGTCAAAGGTGAAACCAATGGTGAACCAGACAGAGCAGCCTATGGCTGCATGAAGTAGGACAGCACGGATGTTACACACACACAGAAGGATGTCACAAAATAAAACTATTCTGAATAAACGATTGGAATGTGTCTTAAAATTAAGTTGAGAATAATGACCAGTAAATAAAATGCTGACATGGCTAGCAGGTAACGAGAGAGACCACATTTTCCCCATGACAGGATCACAATCATCGCTATGTTTGCTGCAAGGAAGAAAAATAGACAGGGATGGATTGTAAAGCTTGACATGTTACAGTAACACTGCATTCAATGATGTGTTGAAACAAGAGAGATTAGATGATTAAAAAGTTGTTATTGTAATTGTGGACTTCAATATTGATCATAGTCTTCGGCTTTCTAGTTTAAGTATTGTTAGTTATCCACAAGTGGAATGATGGCTCCTTCTCAATTCTCTATATTTTTGATTATAATAGGATTTGGACTGAAGTGGGAATAAGACAGCTTTAAAACCAATGATTATGTATGGAATTGCTTTTCATTTGAAAGAACAACAGATGCACATTGTTTTGTGAAATTGTGACCAATTGTTGTTGCCGGAAGTCATCACCCTGAAGTTAATTCTCTGATTGGTGAACAGCTTGATTGTTTACAACAGAGAGAGAAAGAGAGAGAGAGGGAGAGAGAGAGAAGTTTCGAGACTGCTGTAGGTGCAGTTTCTGTCTCTCTCTCTACAGTCAAGTAAATGAAGCCTGAAGAAAAAAAAAATTCCTTTCACCCACGAGTTTCTATCAGTTGTTGCCTTTAAACAATGAGTATGAGATTTTACAACGCGTGTAGCAATTACTCTGTGATTTCCTTGAAAGAGTCCACAAAAGTGATCAGAGAACAGAATGTTCTGGGAAGCTAAAGTAACATTTCTTCGAATTGCGTGGACTGGTGCCATTGAACCAAGTTTTCCCCCTGTTTTCCTCCACACATTACACTCGTGGTAGTAGGAACTGCCGATGATGGAGTCTGCGATAACAAGGTGGAGAGCAACAGTGTTTTGTTTTGTTTGCTTCTGTCTGCATCTGTGCACAAAAGTATTAGAAGGGGTTTGGCGTTTCAGCTAGTAGACATAACTTTTGATCATTCGTAGTTCTGCTTTGAGTGTGATCAGTGTTAATTTGTTTTCAACAAATGATATTTTTGTTAAGTAAATGAATGTGGCCAGTGCTTTCTGTTAACATGATTCCATCGGAGAGGTTTACTGGGGACCTTGGGTATCCAGCAGATAGCGATGTTAAAAGTTCAAATATAACTGAAATTGATGTTCATAATAAAATCAATCACAAGGATGTGCAATTCATTCGAGTTGAGTTAACATTTAATATTTGAAGATACAGGCTTTTTTTTTCCTGGCCTGGTAAAAAGAGGGGATTGTGGATAATGAGCAGAGATGGAGCTGAATGGCAGCAAAAGATGACTGAAAGCAATGGAGAGAATGAGACAGGCAGTGGGACAACAAGAAGGGCAGGTCAGGCGCAATTGCAGCACTCATTTCAGAACAAACCACTGTCACTCTGTAATTCTTGGGAAAAAAACAGCACATCCAGAGGGATTAAGCAATCCAGCATTACCCAGTGATTTCCGTACTTGTGAGTGCACTCACTATTGCAGGTGTGTTTGCTGGCATTTGACTTCCAAATCCTTCAAATGATTTACAATAGAACAATCTGCTGTTTACTGGTGAGCAACTTAGATTGGGGATGAACAGAAACTAACGTTAGAACACAGAAGTACAAGAGCAACAAATCTCGTTTATTTCTGCATTTAACATTGCTCTTGAATATTTCATTGGTATGGAAGATGTTAGAAGTTCATTTTGAGAGGATGAACGAAGAGAGTCAGACCTGTTAAGAGAACCTGCAAACAATACTCCAGGCACGATATCATTGAGGTTTTATAAATAGAAACAAGTTATCTTTATTCTGGTTATCAAACCTGTCGTGTTAAAGCCAGCAAAACATTTGACATTCCAATAACTTGCAGCACTTCCATGTTAGTTTGCAGTGACCTAAAAAGATGGACATTCAGGTCCCTTTGACACCAATCATTCCCAATCTCCTGCCATTTATGAATTAAGCTGGTGCTTTGTTCCTCCTTCTGAAGTGGACAACCTCACATAATGTAGATTATATTCCAGTTGCCACGGTAAGACATGAACTTATGAAAAACTGCAGGAATCGTCTTTGTGTCATCCCAACAACACAAATTCCCACATAGGTATTTGTCATTCACAAAATTGGACATTGTTTGCACGTTTTCCCTGTGTCTGTGTGGGTTTCCTCCGGGTGGTCCGGTTCCCCACCCTCCTCCCCCATAGTCCAAAGAAGTGCAGATTAGATGGCTTGGCCATGCTAAATTCGCTATAGAGTCCAGGGATGTGCAGGCTCAGTGGATTAGCTATGGGAGATAGGAAGAACTGCAGATGCTGTAGTCAGAGCCGATACAGTGTGGAGCTCAAGGAACACAGCAGGTCAGGCAGCATCAGAGGAGCAGGAGATTCAATGTTTTGGGCCTAGATGTTACCGGGATAGGGTTGGGGGTGCGGGTTGGTCGGAGTGGAATGCTCTTTGTTTTGATCCCCATCCCATGTTCTTTCACTGAGATTGCTAATCTCCTGTTTGGGATCTGACTGAAATGCTTCTGGAAATCTAAAAGGCACCAGATTCACCAGGTCCCCTTATCTGTGGAGTTAGGAACATAATCAAAAAATGTCTGATGTATTTGTCAAACATGATTTCACCTTCATAAACGGATGTTGATTCGGCCCAATCTGATCATTGTTTTCTCCGTCTCCAGTTATCTATTATTTTTCTTCATACTGATGTCAGCCAAACAGGTCACAGTTCCCTATTTAATCCCACTCCCTTTTTTCCAAAATAGTGGTGATATATTTGCAACCTTCTGATCCCAACACACCATTTTAAAAGCTGTTGAATTTTGACAGAGGACTAGGAATGCATCCATTATTCACCCCAGTTACTTGTTTCAACTCTCTGGGACACGTATAATTGGGGTTAGTGAATTTGTCAATTTCCAGCTCTATTTATTTCTCCAATGTTACTTCATCATTATTTTTTCAGTTCCTCATTCACACCAGTTCTTTATATCTCAATAACTTCTGGGAGACTTATTGTATCTTCCAACGTGAAGAAAGGTACAAAGTATTTACATAGCTTATCTGTCATTTCCAGCTTTTCTATTATAAATTCTTTCTTGTCTGCTGAAATGGATGTTGTCTCATCTCAAAAGCATAGAATCATACCAGCACATGATGCAATTCAGCCAATTGTGTCTGCCCCTGCTATCCAGTGAACTCAGTGATATTTTCCTCTTGTCTGTGCTTGTTGTCATCAAGCTCACTCTGCTGCGATCCTGGCTATGGAACTGCATGAAGAAAGGAATTCAGAGCAGCTCATGTTCTGGTCCTGGCTCAAACGGAGATCGGAAATCTGCTCTTGCAAAATTGCGTATGGATAAAGATGGAATCTACACCGCCATGCGCCACAATTCCTCGCTTAAGAACATCTGCTGTTTGCAACTTGTGCTGCACTTATTTCTGATGTTGCAAACTGATTTGGGGAGTAACTATGGTCCCCATAACTAGCTCAGAGTTAGGTCCCCACATTGTCTCGTCTCCCTGAATATCTGCACCAACTTAGAAGTAAACACCCAAAAACCAATCTATCAGCACCTCCACTAATTTTACAACAGAAAAATGCAAATTGATTGAAGGGCTATCGTTATTTGCTGGGAAATTAATGTTGCTGCTGCGCATATTAGACCTACGAATGGTGCGCAGCAGCAGGATGTGGAACCTCAAAACTCCTTCATGCCCGTTTGTTTGTATTGTGTTGCAGAAAGTAGAAAGTCATACTTGAGTACAGAGGTGTCTAGGTAGTGTGTCTGAGCAGTCTAAAGTGCTGGATTAAGGCTTCAGTCTCTGAGGAAGTGTGGGTTCAAACCCCACTGCTGCCAGTTGTACCAGGGCTTTGTCGCACTAGTGTGTTGCAAGGGCAAGTTCAGTTTAAGTTGCATTCACAGAAAAGTGCTCTGTTTTGATCCCCACAGTCTATGATGAGTGACAGTACAGAAGCTTCATCAAGTCAGTGGCGCCGTTGTGTTTCTGGAGTGTAGTGGTGATCACGTTCGCTTCACATACAATGACATCTTCGGTTGAATAGAGCACTGCTGCCTCATTATCTTGGCACGATGTGTTGTACTTTTCAGTAAGTGAACAGTGTGAGTTAAGATACTGTTGTTTTCATCACGTAATCTTGCATTCAGCCTACTCGCCAAAATTTAATGTTGTGGGGAAGGGTAGACCATTAAATTTACTTGTAATGAAACAGCTTTTTTGAATGTCTCTCCTTCCTGGTTCTGATAATGAACCGAATTACAGTGCCCAGACCGCCATTGTAACTATGTTGCTGCATTGCTGCATAGCCATTGTGCTTTGCACGTCTGAGTTGCCAAAGCACTCTCATCGCTGTTTCCCTAAATGGTCGCTGAGGTTGTGCTTTCGCCCACTTCTTGTATGAGCCCAATCTGGTCAAATTATCTCACCAGAGACCCTAGAATTGTCTGTCCTCTAATAAGATACAGAACAAAATCTGCAATCCATCTCGTAAGCTTTATCAGAATGTACCCTGCTTTCATGAAAAGGCACATATTCATGAGCCCCCAATTCTTCCACCCCCACCCCTTGCATCCATTATTAATTTCTAAGGAATTACATTGAACGAAACAATGAGAAACCAGAAGCACATGTTCACTTTGAAAAATGTGTTTAAATTTTGCACATTTTTCTCGTTGATTAAATCGAGCAGGATATTGTTTGACTTCTGTGTTCAAAATGCATTCTTTCAGTTCCAGCGATGGTTGTCCTGGAGAGGTGGCCGGTGAGCTGCCTTCTCGGACTCGTGCAATCATTGTGGTGCATGCACACCCACTGTGCTGATCGAAAGGGAAACCTGATGGAATCCAGGCTTTGACTGGTAACTTCAATTTATTTTTTAATGTGAAACCTTCTCGAATTTGGCGATGGACTAAGGCTCCAATCTGTTTGGAGGTGCATTTTGGAATCAACAGCCCCGGCCCGGCTACAAGTTATGTGAGTATTTCGCCACTCGGGCTCCTCGCGCTGTGTGTGTCTGAAAATGCGATCGCATTGTCATTTTTGCTTCTGTTTATGCGTTAAACAGCCGGCTATCTGGGGACTTGCTTAATACCTCAGGGGCTGACACGGTTGGAGAGGTATCGTTTTGCAGCCAAAACCCTCACTGAGGTTCAGGGAGTGTGTCCCGGGGAAAGGTGATTGGGTAACGGTACGGAGGACTTAGTCCCTGGATAGTTTCGAAACAACAAACTTCCAGTGAACAGCCGAGAGCTTTCAGCCATTGCGCCAGGGTCTAGCACTCACTGTGGAATCGACACTAAAGAACAACGGACTCGCGGAAGAAGTACAACGGACCATCAGACAGACGATACTCCGAACACTGAGCAAAACAGGAAAGTGGAACACATTCAACACAGAAGAGAAGAAAGCCCTGGAAAGACTCAAGAAAGACATGAATATTGTTATCTTACTAGCAGACAAAGGACGCATGGCAGCAATCCTAAATAGAACCCAGTACACCAAGGAAGCTAACGCACCACAAGCAGAGATAGTAGGAACTGCAGATGTTGGAGAATCTGAGATAACAAGGTGTAGAGCTGGATGAACACAGCAGGCCAAGCAGCATCAGAGGAGCAGGAAGGCTGACGTTTCGGGCCTAGACCCTTCTTCCGAAATGGGGGAGGGGAAGGAGGTTCTGAAATAAATAGGGAGAGAGGGGGAGGAGGAAAGAAGATGGATAGAGGAGAAGATAGGTGGAGAGGAGACAGACAGGTCAAAGAGGTGGGGATGGAGCCAGTAAAGGTGAGCGTAGGTGGGGAGGTAGGAAGGAGATAGGTCAGTCCAGGGAGAACGGACAGGTCAAGGGGGCGGGATGAGGTTGGTAGGTAGGAGATGAGGGTGGGGCTTGAGGTGGGAGGAGGGGATAGGTGGGAGGAAGGACAGGTTAGGGAGGCGGGGATGAGCTGGGCTGGTTTTGGGATGCGGTAGGGGGAGGGGAGATTTTGAAGCTTGTGAAGTCCACATGGATACCATTGGGCTGCAGGGTTCCCAAGCGGAATATGAGGTGCTGTTCCTGCAACCTTCGGGTGGCATCGTTGTGGCACTGCAGGACGCCCAGGATGGACATGTCATCTGCGGAATGGGAGGGGGAGTTGAAAAGGTTCACGACTGGGAGGTGCAGTTGTTTAGTGCGAACCGAGCGTAGGTGTTCTGCAAAGCAATCCCCAGCTTGGTTTCCCCAATGTAGAGGAGGCCACAACGGGAACAGCGGATGCAGTATACCACATTAGCAGATGTGCAGTCTTCTTGGGGCCTGGGATGGGGTGAGGGGGTAGGTGTAGGGGCAGGTGTAGCACTTCCTGCGGTTGCAGGTTAAAGTGCCGGGTGTGGTGGGGCTGGAGGGGAGTGTGGAGCGGACAAGGGAGTCACGGAGAGAGTGGTCCCTCCGGAAAGCAGATAAGGGTGGGGAGGGAAAAATGTCTTTGGTGGTGGGGTCGAATTGCAGATGGCGGAAGTGTCAGAGGATGATGCGTTGGATCTGGAGGTTGGTGGGGTGGTATGTGAGGACGAGGGTGATTCTGTTTTGGTTGTTATTGCGGGTAGGGGGCGTGAGGGATGAGCTGTGGGAAATGCGGGAAACATGGTCGAGACCCCCCTCGACCACTGAGGGGGGGGGGAAGTTGCGGTCCTTGAAAAATGAGGACATCTGAGATGTACGGGAGTGGAATGCCTCATCCTGGGAGCAGATGTGGCAGAGGCGAAGGAATTGGGAATAGGGGATGGCATTTTTGCAGGAAGGTGGGTGGGAGGAGGTGTATTCTAGGTAGCTGTGGGAGTTAGTGGGCTTGAAATGGATATCAGTTTCTAGGTGGTTGCCAGAGATGGAGACAGAGGTCCAGGAAGGAGAGAGAGGTATTAGAGATGGTCCGGGTGAACTTAAGGTTGGGGTGGAAAGTGTTGGTGAAGTGGATGAACTGTTCGAGCTCCTTGTGGGAGCACGAGGTGGCGCCGATACAGTCATCAATGTAACGGAGGAAGAGGTGGGGTTTAGGGCCAGTGTAGGTACGGAAGAGGGATTGTTCCATGTAACCACGTAAGAGGCAGGCATAGCTTGGGCCCATGCGGGTACTTATGGCTGTAGGAAGTGGGAGGAATTGAAAGAGAAGTTGTTGAGGGTGAGGACGAGTTCGGCTAAGCGGATGAGGGTGGCAGTGGACCGGGACTGTTCAGGCCTGGGGGACAGGAAGAAGTGGAGGGGAATTGGAAGTTTTGGAGGAGGTGGAGGGTGTGGGTGGTGTCACGGACGGAGGTAGGGAGTTCCTGGACAAAGGGGGAGAAAATGGAGTCGAGATAGGTGGAGATAAGTTCAGTGGGGCAGGAGCAGGCGGAGACAATGGGTCAACCAGGGCAGTCAGGTTTGTGGATTTTGGGAAGGAGATAGAAGCGGGCGGTGCGGGGTTGGGAATAATAAGGTTGGAAGCTGTGGGTGGGAGGTCACCTGAGGTGATGAGGTTGTGGATGGTTTGGGAGATGATGTTTTGGTGGTCCGGGTGGGGTCATGATTAAGGAGGCGGTAGGACGAGGTGTCGGAGAGTTGGCGCCTGGCCTTGGCGATGTAGAGGTCAGTGCGCCATACTACAACTGTGCCTCCCTTGTCCGTGGGTTTTATGCTGAGGTTGGGATTGGAGCGGAGGGAGCGGAGGGCTGCACGTTCTGAGGGGGAGAGGTTGGAGTGGGTGAGAGGGGTGGAGAGGTTGAGGTGATTGATGTCTCGACGGCAGTTGGAGGTGAAGAGGTCGAGGGAGGGTAGGAGGCCTTGGGGTGGTGTCCAGGAGGAGGGGGTGTGTTGGAGGCGGGAGAAGGGGTCAGTAGAGGGAGGGTTAGGCTCACGGTTAAAGAAGTAAGCGTGGAGGCAGAGGCGACGGAAAAACTGTTCAACGTCCAAGCCTGAGCGGTATTCATTGATGTTTGGGTGGAGGGGGACAAAGGTGAGCCCTTTACTGAGGACTTGAAATGGATATCGGTTTCCAGGTGGTTGCCAGAGATGGAAACAGAGAGGTCCAGGAAGGAGAGAGAGGTATCAGAAATGGTCCAGGTGAACTTAAGGTTGGGGTGTGTTAGCACTAAATGTGGCCTCCTCTACATCGGGAAAACCAAGCGGAGGCTAGGGGACCGCTTTGCGGAACACCTACGCTCGGTTCGCACTAAACAACTGCACCTCCCAGTCGCGAACCATTTCAACTCCCCCTCCCATTCCTCAGACGACATGTCCATCCTGGGCCTCCCGCAGTGCCACAACAATGCCACCCGAAGGTTGGGGAACAGCACTTCATATTTCGCTTGGGAACCCTGCAGCCCAATGGTATCCATGTGGACTTCATAAGCTTCAAATTCTCCCCTCCCCCTACTGCATCCCAAAACCAGCCCAGCTCATCCCCGCCTCCCTAACCTGTTCTTCCTCCCACCTATCCCCTCCTCCCACCTCAAGCCGCACCCCCATCTCCTACCTACTAACCTCATCCCGCCCCCTTGACCTGTCCGTCCTCCCTGGACTGACCTATCTCCTTCCTACCTCCCCACCTACACTCACATTTACTGGCCCCATCCCCGCCTCTTTGACCTGTCTGTTTCCTCTTCACTTATCTTCTCCTCTATCCATCTTCTATCCGCCTCCCACTCTCTCCCTATTTATTTCAGAACCCCCTTCCCCTTCCCCATTTCTGATGAAGGGTCTAGGCCCGAAACGTCAGCCTTCCTGCTCCTCTGATGCTGCTTGGCCTGCTGTGTTCATCCGGCTCTACAACTTGTTATCTCAGATTCTCCAGCATCTGCACTTCCTACTATCTCAGCTCCTGTTAAACGGCAGCCGAAATTAGAGCGCATGCGTGTCAACGCCGTGGCTCTATAGGTGGGCGGGATTTCACTTTTTTTATAGGTCTGAATGGGTCCTAGTGCCCTTGATGGATCGTCCTGAGCCACAGGATCATGGTTTCTTTTCAGCAGATTCACTCACACATAGTTGATACTTGCAACCGGGAAGAGTCGATGGGAAGTGTATATATTCACTGTGACAGGTTGTAACCTCTGTGTAGTTACCTGAATAAACTGTTCCCCAACATTTGGTGACGTTTCAGTTCCATGCTCCTGACTTTGAGCTGTGCATTGCGGAGGGCATAGGGAAGTCGGAGGACCTTCCTTCGGTAAAAATAAATTTGCCCGACCCGAATGGACAGAGTTTGGGAAGGGTCGCTGTTGCTAAACAGTAGATTTGTGAGCATGGGTAAGGCCCATCAAGCTTGCTCTGCCACTCAATAAGCTCGTGGCTCATTTAATTGTGGTTTAATTTCATTTTTCTGCCAGTTTCTGCTTCTCCTCTGTCATCGTCTCCGTGCCTGTTTGACCATATGGAGGAAGCGTGCGGTGACCAGCAGCAGACTTGATACCTTCCACAACCAGTGGACACCTCAGGATGCTGAGTGTCTCACAGAGACTTACAAACACATTCTGATTTAGTTTGAAATGTTGCCGTTTCACATTCCCTTTTTTTTTTAGACATTGTTGCTGATTTTAGGTTATTTTAGTTTGTTTGGATTACGTATTTAGTGAACTAAAGGGCACGGAAGGAACCTCTTCAGGTAGCTCTACAAAGGTTACAACCCATTACATTTAATGTATCTATAAAGCCCATGGACTGTTCTCAGCAGGAAATATCCGCTCCCCAGAGCTTTCTTTCTTCCCATCGAGGTCATAGTCTAGTGGCAGTCCTGGATGAACGGCAGGTTTCCATTCCCGATGAACATGAATGAACCAGTTTGTGATTTAATGACGATCTGGAAGTTTTTATGGTCCCCATTCCCCAGCACCAGCCCCACAAATTACCAGATCCATTCACTTTCGTTTCAAAGCTGCCTTTGCTTTTGTGTGTTACCTTACACTCTTTTTGTTTCGATTTAGATCAATTCCACAGTGTTTTGGAAATTGAGGATGTGCAGTCGCAATACATACAAAACATCACACCAGGATCTGACAGAGTTGTGGAATATAATGTAAGCTGAATATCATTGGATTTTAAACATGGAAGGTGGATGCACCATTCGTAGCTAAGAGAAACTGTGCACAGATTCTGTGTGGATAAGACTACAGGAGAACATCTGATTTTTTAAAAACTAAACCAATGCCACACTGACAAGAAACTGTGGATATCTGGGGACTGTGGGAAGGGTTTCAATTATCCATTCAAGCTGCAAACACATCTGTGCAGTGACACCAGGGAGAAACTGTTCACCTGCTCCATGTGTGAGAAGCCATATGTGATGACCTCCCGCCTGCTGGCTCACCAGCGGGTTCACAGTGGAAAGGGGTTGTTCCCCTGCTCTGAGTGTGGCAAGGAATTCATTCAGTCACTCCCCACGCCCTGCTGACACACCAGCGAGTTCACACTGGGGAGAGACTGTTCACCTGCTCTAAGAGTGGGAAGGATTTCTCCTGGTCATCCAACCTCGTGAAACATCACCAGGTTCAGTCTGAGGAAAGACCCTTTAAATGTGCAGACTGTGGGAACTGCTATAAGAGCTCAAGTGGATTGATGTACCATCAATGTGTTCACACTGAAGAGAGACTGTTCAAGTGCTCTCACTGCGGGGCTGGATTCAGGACATCATCTACTCTCACTGTGCACCAGCAAATACACACAGCCATTCACCTGCACAGAGTGTGGGAAGAAATTCACTCGGTCATCCAACTTGATGAAACACCAGCAAGTTCACAAGTAACTGCAGTCACTGGATGTTTTTTGTTTGTTTGTTCATGGGATCATGGCATCGCTGGCTCGGCCAATATTAACCATCCATTCTAACTGCCCAGAGGATGGTTAAGAGTCAACCACATTGTTATGGAACAGAATTCACATGTAGGCTGGATCAAGTCAGAAGAAACAAGGCCCAATGGTACAAAGAGTTGATTCCTGGTCTCTTATCCTGTTTCTGAAATGATAATGAATAATTGTACAGCTGATTTAAATGCGAAAGACCAAAATGGGTTTTATTCTGATTGAGTACATCCTCCTGTTTTCTCAGTTGTTATTGACAATCTCATTCCCCTCGCACCATAACCTGTTCCAGAGAGTGTTACAGAAAAGAGGGAATGGTCAGCTGCAGTTGGTCACTTGAAGGGTCACTTCAACCCAAAAGGTTAACTCTGATTTCTCTCCATAGATGCTCCAGAACTGCTGAATGTTTCCAGTTGGTTTTGCCTCTGATTTTCAATATTTACAGTTTCTAAAAAAAAATCAATATTCACTGTGTATGGTTCAGAGGTGTTTCATTGATGAGGTTGGTGCGTTTTGGAAGTTGAATGTTAGACCACAGATCAGACATGATCCCATTGAATGGCAGTACAGGCTTGGGGGGTCGGGGAGGGGGTGGGTGGGGGGTGGGGGGTGGCGTGGAGGGTGGTGGTGGAATGATCTACTCCCGTCCCTATAAAAGTTGTCCACCTGCAGCTCAATATTTTCCATCATTGCTCACTTCACATCCATGTCTAACACACTCCAAGTTGATGCTGGCTGAACAAATCTCCTGTGTTTAAACAAAACTTGTTAATATTCAGTGCTCCCTCTCCTGCCGCCTGAGTTTAACTCTTGTCAGAGAATGTTGTCTCTTTTTACTGTGTCAATAGATATAACAGACTGATCCTGGATTCTCATCATCCTGGGATCCACAAAACCCTTTATTTTTCTCTTCCTGTTTCAGTCTGACTCTTTAATTTCTCAGTTTCAGTCTGCTCTCCTTTCAAGCTCTTCAACAAACCCATTTGGACAGACTAGATGCAGCTGGAAGTTACACAGGGAATTGGGAAGTGGGCGGAAGCACGAGGAGAGGCAACATCAAAGTAAGCTCCCATTTTAACGACAGAAATTCTCCATGACCCAGCAAGTGGTGAGGGGCCTGAGAGTGTGGGGGAGGCAAATTCAATCAGAGATTTGTGAAGACACTCAGACAGTGACCTATCCATCTGATTTTTAACTCTGATAGACAGACAAAAAGAAAGAGTGCCTTTGACAATCTCGAAGCAATGAAAAATGCTTCACAATCAAGGATTTCAACCTCAAATCTCTGACAATACAGGGACAAAGTCTATCATTTATATCAGTTATCTATCAGCCTCCTCTTTTCTTGAGAAAAGAGTTTTAAGCTGTTCAGTCTTTCATGGTGATTATAACCTTTCCTTTCCTGTAAGATTTGTGACTGAAACTGTATTTTCCTGTTCCCTGTGAGTGATGCCAGCAGCAGAAACAGTTCCTAACCTACGACAGATTTCAATTGGACTATTTGTATTTACAAATTCATTCTCACCCTCAAATACAGTGTGAAATTGTTGTAAAGCAGAAAGAAAGGAATTAGTAAGAACCCGCAAAAACACAAAGGCAGCATATTAAACTGAGCTACATGAACCTGGTGATTTGTGGGGCTGGCATTGGGAAAATGTGACCACGACCACAACTGGTTTGAATTACAGCATCCCTACAGTGCCGAAAGAGGCCATTCAGCTCATTGAGTCTGCAGTGACCCTCTATCCCACTGTACCTCCATAACCCCGAATTTTCCATGGCTCACCCGACCTGTCTAACCCGCACATGACAGCCGATTTAGCATCGCCAATTCACCTCACCTGCACATTTTTGGACTGTCGGAGTATCACAGATTAGATCTAGAGCACAGCTCTAAAGGCACAAAATTGTGGATGAAGGCTCAAAAATACTCACCTCTGGAACGATTTCACTGTTTTTCAAAATAAAATCTAGGGGAACCTGCAGCTACAAAGTTTTCAGATTCTCTCTGGAGGAAGTGAATTCAAAACTTGTGCCACTGACCCAGGGGTGCGCTGACATCACAGAGGCCTGGGAGCTATCAGAATTGTAATAGATTTCTAATAAGGTGGGGATGAGACACAGGGGGTTGGCAGGAGACATTAAATAGCAGAAATGTTAGACCCTCAAGGCCGCAGGGAATGGAATTACGGCTGGAAAAGAAACAAAGTGACAAAAGATGTGCCTGGAACCAGGTGTGCATTTGACATTGAAACAAGAAACGAATTGAAAGTAAAGTAGGGGACAGAGTTAACAATCTGAAATTGTTGGTCATACTGCTGGGTGCGGAAAGCTGTAAAGCCGGGGTAGTTCTATTTCAGCCAACATAAGTATAATGGGCCAAGTGGCCTTGATGTGTGCTGTAACTTTTTGATATTTTTATTCTGACATTTAGAGTTCAATTCTGATGAATATTAATAACCTCTCAAATTGGACTGGAGTTTAATAAATATACAAATGTCAAATAAATCAGCTTTACTTCAAACACATCACTGTAGATCGTTGTATTTCTCCCCAAGTGTCTAATATCACCTGAAGCTCAGAAAGGACAATCTTGGGGGAGGATCGTACGGCAGCAACTGAGCTTCAGCCTGGATACATCCTTCAGCGTCACACTGATGGGGACAAATGGCACTCCGGTCTTTCTCGTCTGACTTCACTGACAGCAAAGTCCCAGTGTGGGTTAATCCTGCAGTCTGTAAGAAATGTGTCCCAGCCACTGTGTTCCATGGCTCAGAGCTCCTTGATATGGAACAGAATCCTGTTTACAACTGGGTTTACAGTCAGAGCAAGAACAACAATGAATGCTGGAAACGTGCTTCAAATCAGAGATTAGTGTAAAACTGTGATCTGTGTCTGACTAGAAGTGAAACTGGCAGGTTTCAGGTTCCCCTACATTGGTAAAGATAAAGTTGTGTCTGGCAAACCTACAACATGGAGATCAAAAGCACATGAGCAGTGGGAGCAGGGGTTGAGCATCCTGTCTCTGCTGAAACCACACAGGATGCACCAGGTAGGAATGAGAGAAGGGTCTTGGTTAGAACATATACTTCACCAAGAGTGTGGATGTGGGGACGGTTGACAAAATGTTAATTTTCTTTTTTTTTTTCAAAAACCACAGGTATTTTTTCTGAAGGAAAAGGACAACACAGACTTGTACATTAGAGTGCGGAACTTTGAAATATTAGAAGGAATTGATATTGTAAGAGAGTTGACTTACTTGGGTTTAGCAAACTTAAAAATTGATAAATCTTCAGATCTGAATGAGATGAATCCCAGGCTGTGGTGGGAGGCAAGCGAGGAAATATCAGGGGCCTTGGCAGTAATTTTCCAATCTTTTCTGGCCACAGGTGAGGTACCAGAAGACTGGCAACACTTCATTATTTCAAAAAAAAATTGTGAAGGGACAGGCAAGAAAATTACAGGCAGTCAGTTTAACCTTAGTGGTAGGGAAGTTATTGAAAAGAATTCTGAGGGACAGAATATATCTGCAATTGGAGGGGCATATTAATCAGGGATGGTCAGCATTGATTTTTTAAGGGAAGACAGTTTTTGATTGGCAGTATTTGATGTGGTCTACATGGAATTTAGTAAAGCTCTTGATGAGGTCTATAATGGCAGGTTGGTCAAGAAAGTAATAACTTATGGATTCCAAGACAAAATGGCACATTGGTTCCAAAATTGGCTGAGGGGCAGGAAGCAGCGGTGATGATTAAGGGTTGTTTCTGTTACTGGAAGTCTGTTTCTAGTGGCTTTCCATAAAGCTTGATGCTAAGGTCTATGTTGTTTGTGGTGTCCATTAATAATTTGGACTTCAATGATCAAGAAGTCCATGATGACACAAAAATTGGTGGGGCGGTAAAAAAATGAAAATACCTGTGAAATGCAGAATGATATCAATAGACTGGTCAGGTAGGCAAGTGACAAATGGAATTCAGCCTAGAAAAGCCTAAGGTAATGCACTCGGCGAATATATATATATATATATATATATATATATGTATGTAATGTATGGTAGGACCCCGGAAAGTACTGAAGATCAGAGGGACCTTGGTGAGTATATCCACAGATCCCTGAAGGTAGGGCAGGTAGGTAAAGTAGTTATGAAGGCATATAGGCTACATCCCTTTATTAGCCAAAGCAAAGAATACAAGAACAAGATGGTTACACCAGAACCATATAAAACACTGGTTAGACCACAACTGAACTGCTCTGTGCAATTCTGGACACCACATTATAGAAAGGATGTGATTGCATTAAAGAGGATGCAGAGGAGATTTACCTGGATGATGCCTGGGCTGTAGGGTTTATGAGGAAAAAATACATTGGCTGGAGTTGTTTTCATTACATCAGTGAAGGTTGACAGAGGACCTGATAGAGGTATATAAGATCATGAGAGGCATCAATAGGATGGATAGGAAGGCACGTTATCCATTTGTACAGAGATCAATAGCCACAGAGCGATTTAAGGTAAGAGATTGACTTGGATGTTAGTAAAGCCTTTGACAAGATTCCACATGGTAAACTAATTAGTAAAGTTAGATCCCATGAGATTTGGGGTGAGCTTGTCAATTGGAAACAAAATTTGCTTAACCACAGAAGAGAATAATGATGGAGAGTTATTTATCGGATTGGAGAACTGTGACCAGTGGTGTTCCTTAGGGATCGGTGGGTCCATTTTTGTTTGACATTTATATAAGTGATTTAGATGAGAATATAGGAGGCATGGTTAGTAAGTTTGCAGATCACACCAAGATTAGTGGTACAGTGGACAGTGAAGAAAGCTATCTAAGATTACAAAGAGATCTTGATCAATTGGGTCAATGGGTTGAAGACTGTCAAATGGAGTTTAATTTGGTAAAACAAAGACAAGACTTGTACATTTAAACGTCGGGCATTGGGCAGTGTTGTAGAATAGAGAGACCTCGACATTCAGGTATATAATTCTTTGAAGTTTGCATCACATACAGATAAGGTGGTTACGAAGGCATTTAGCATGCTTGCTTTCATTGTTCAGACCATTGAATATAGGAGTTGAGACATTATGTTGAGATTGTACAGGATGTTGGCGAGGCTTCTTCTTGAGTACAGTGTCCAGTTCTGGTTGCCCTGTTATAGGAAGGGTATTATTAAAGTTTTTGAGAAGATTTGTAACTTGGGTTGTGGATGAGGTTGTAGACATTTCATCACCCTGCTAGGTAACATTGTCTGTACGTCTCCAGTGAAGCACTGGTGTTCTGTCCCGCTTGTTATTTATGTGCCTTGGTTTGCTGGTGTGGTTGGCATTACTTCCGATTCTGTTTTTCAGTGGTTTGTATATCAGGCCCAGTTCAATGTGTTGATGGAGTTCCGGTTGGAATGCCAGGCCTCCAGGAATTTCCTGGCATGTTTCTGTTTGGCTCGTGCTATTAAGAATGTGTTGTCCCAGTTGAATTTATGTCCCTCTTTGTCCATGTGTATTGAGACCATTGAGAATTGGTTGTGTCTCTTGGTGGCTAGTTGGTGCTCATGTATCCTTATTGTAGTTCTCTTCCAGTTTGGCCTACGTAACGTTTTTTCACAGTCCTTGCATGGTATTTTGTATATTATGTTCGTTTTATTGGTTGTGGGTATGGGATCCTTTACATTCGTCAGTAGCTGTGGCAGGGTGGTTGTTGGTTTGTGGGGATTTCAAGACTAGGGGGACATATTTTTAAGGTGAGACTATTTTTTCTGAAGGAGACTCATCTGAGACTTTATCACTTTCTAATGATGTGTAACCTGATGTAAAGACTGTCTCCAGGACGTGTCTTTTATTCTCACTTTGATATCATTTCCCAACTTGCCCACCTTCCATTCACTTGTCCTATCCAGAGGCTGCTGTCAAAAACCAACCATTCTGAAGAAGGGTCTAGACCTGAAACGTCAGCTTTCCTGCTCCTCTGATGCTGCTTGGCCTGCTGTGTTCATCCAGCTCTACACCTTGTTGTCTCACATTCACTTTGTGGACATTTCATTTGACAATTTTTGCTTTTAATTTCAAAAGCTTTATAAAAGGCTTGACACCATCCAACACAAAACAGGCCTCTCGATTCACACCCCAACTACCTCAGAGTCATAGAGTATCATAGAGTAATACAGCACAGAAACAGACCCTTCGGTCCAACCGTCGATGCCAACAATGATACCACACTACACTAGTTCTACCTGCCTACACTTGGCCCATATTCGTCCAAACATTTCCGATTCATGCACTTATCCAAATGTCACGTAAAATGTTGTATTGGTATCCATATCCACCACTTCATCTGGAAGTTAATTCCATACATGAAACACTGTAAAAAAATTGCCTCTCATGTATTTTATAAATCTTTCTCCTCTCACCTTAAAATATTTCCAAGGATAAATATCAATTTATTCAAATCATCTCAACTTTCCAGACTTTAACTAGAATTGAGATGGATACTAGATTGGAAGGTTCTCCTGAATTACATCTAAAATGAGTTATTCCAGTTTGTTTATCACCCTGAACAATATACTAATTTCTTTTTTAATTGGAAGGTCCTTGATGGATATAAACTTGCAGGGTTAATGGGATAGAACAAGGACTGACACTTGCCTTTTCATCAGAGCCAGCATGACCTCAGAGGGTTGAATGCACTGCTCTCCCACAATAACTTTATCATCCAAAGAAAACAGAATCAGCTGCTCCAGTCTCTCCAGCCAACTGAAATCCTGAATCCCTGATGACATTCCCATAATTCCTGTCTCAAACATACTAAGGAACTTAATGTCTTTCTGCAAAGACCTGGCCCATATTTGATCTCTTTTCTACAGGGATAAAACTGAAAAGGAGGAAGACTCCGATGGGAGCACTGTCAACATTTGTCATCTCCATTTGGAGAAAGGAAATAGAGGTACTGTGAATCCATGTGACACGTTTTCCAAAGATATTATCAGAACTGGGAACATGTAACCCTCAGGAATGGCTGGGGAACTTTTCTCTAAAAAGCGAAGGCTGGAGGGTGGCCTGATGGAAGTCTTTAAAATAATAAAGGGCTTCAATAATCCAATAGGGATTTCATGAGAAACCTCTTTACCCAGTGAGAGGTCAGAATATGGAATTCACTCCCACTGCAAGTGGTTGAAGTAAATGGTAGATATATATTTAAGGAGGAGCTGATACATACATGATGGAGAAAGGAATAGAATGATCTGCTGATGGGGAGATAAGAGAGGAGAATCATAGAATCCTTACAGCGTGGAAACAGGCCCTTCAACCCAACAAGTCCACACCAACCCTCAGAGCATCCCCTATAGCCCACCTAATCTACACATCCTGAACACTATGGGCAATTTAGCATGGCCAATCCATGTAGACTGCACATCTTTCAACAGTGGGAGGAAACCGGAGCACCCAGAGGAAACCCACGCAGACATGGGGAGAATGTGCAAACTCCACACAGACAGTCGCCCAAGGGTGGAATCAAACTCAGGTCCCCGGCACTCTGCGGCAGCAATACTAACCACTGAGCCACCATGCTTCTTCCAGCTGAGAAGATAGTAGAACTGGAATCAAAGAAAAATTTCAGAGGTTTCATGTCTTCCATTTCTCTGTAAAATAAGATGACAAAAGAAATAAATATCAGTTGACGGAGAAATTCAGAAGAGGCAAACATTTCTCTTGCTTTAAGAACTAAACATCCACCTGCTAAAGGATTTTCCAAACTCCATCACCGTTGGTTCAGGATGGGAATATACAACATGATTAGAGGTACGAGATATATTAATTAAAAGGTTATGTTACACAGAAAAGGGTTAAGAGATTTGATAGATGTGTGTCAAGTTTAGGATGCCTTTTCCATGTGCCAGTCTTGTTCTTCCAAAGATTAGTTGGATAGCAGAAGCTTAAAATGCAGGAAGGAGAAAATATTAAAGAGTACAATTGCTCTTCAACAAGAAGTGAATTCAATGGCAGGTTAAATACCCAGCATTCTCCATGGTGCTGAGGGTCCTCCATCCACACCACGGGAAAGAAGAGCGCATGCGCAATGCCGGCTTAATCTGCGCAGTGGAAGCGATGGCTATGGGGAGAGACGCTGTTTTCCAGACTGCAAGGTCGGGGAACAGGAGGGAGGAATGGAGGCGGAGAATGGATCGGGAGGGTTTATAAACCCTTCCAGCGAAAGACAAGCAGCTTCAAACAGAAGCTGCAGGTTAGTTCTTTGCAGTTTCGGGTCTTCTCCCCGGGAATACTACTAAGTGAACAGACGCCATGTTGGCCGGTGATCTGCGCGCATGCGCCGACCGACCATTTACGTCACAACAAGGGCGGGGCTTGAGGGTGCATCCTGCAGATGCTGGAAATCTGAGCCCAAAACAGACAGTGTTGGAGGAACTCCGTTGGTCTGGGAGCAAGGTGCAGAGTCTGGGAGCATCTGTGCAGAGTGAAAAACAGAGTTAACGGTTCCAGGCCAATGTGCATCATTTTCAGAACCTAATGCATGGAAGGTGCAGTGTCCTGGGTGATAGCTTTTTCAGCAGCTTTACCCACAGGTGAAATTTGAAACAAACAACAGTCTATTTTAATCCCAGGATTTCTCTGCACAGGCTATTTTTTTAAATTAACCTGTTCTGACGTAATATGACACACCACTGGAGCAGGTGGGACTTTTAAGAATCTAGGCTTTCTTAGCCAGGGTAGAGTTCCTTAGGGTAGAGTCCCTGACCCAACCATCTTCAGCTGTTTCATCAATGATTTTCCCTTCAGAAGTGAAGATATTGACTGATGATTGCATCATTTGTGACTATTCAGATACTAAAGTAGCACGTATCCCTATGTAGCAAGACTTGGACAGCATCCAAAATCAGCATGATAAGTGGAAAGTAACATGCATGTCACATAAGTGCCTTGCATTGACCATCTTTAACAAGAGAGAATTTGAGTATCACTCCTTGATATTCAATGGCATTACCATTGTTGAACCTATCACCATCCTGGAGGTTACCATCGACCAGAAACTGAACTGGACTAACGATATAAATACGGTCACTGCAAGAACAGGGCAGAGGCTGGAAATTTTGCAGCGAGCAACTCACCTCCGAACTACCCAAAATCTGTCCACCATTTACAAGACATAAGTCAGGAATATGGAATGCTCTTCTGTTGCCTGGATGAGTGCAGCCTTAACAACACTCAAGAAGCTTGACATCATCTGGGACAAAATCTGTGTCCATCACTGCTAACATTCACTTATTTCACCAAGGATGCACAGTGGCAGCAAAGGGTTATCATCTCTCTTGTGTGATCTCCCTCTGGATGGGGAGCTTGTGGTGTCCACCAGTGGACTAGGTACCTCCCACCACAAGATGGCACCTCAGGGTACACAATGTCTTACAAACACTGGGAACACCAACCTGGTTTAGACAGGAATGTTCCTTCTGGTTTTGGTAGTGGTTTTTGCATCTTTTAGTATGGATAATATGTTTGGGGGTTGGGGCGTGTGCAACAGAGGAAAAACGTTTCTCAGAAATTGAATTTGTTTGTTCTGAGATTTTATCCTGTACTGATAATGATGTTTGTAAATCATTTCACAGAGTAATAGAAAGAAAGACATTGAAGATGGGAGAGTCAAACCAAACACGATATCAAGATCCAATGGAGTCACTCAATTCATCAGCACCTGAAGGGAACATGTTTATCTGGTATGTCTGTGGGAAAAGATTTCAATGTCAGTGTGAGTGGTAAAGCGTCAACACGCAGACTCATGCACCTGAGCATGAACGTTCCAGAGATCTAACTGCAGGAATTATTTAACATCATCCAGTTAACATTCTGGAAAAAAGCCCACAGAGCAGAGAAACTGTACACACTTTGTGTTTATGGACAAGGATTCAACAGATCATCCACCCGGGAGAGATGCCAGGAAATCAGCATCATGGAAAAACCGTGGAAATGTGTGGATTGCGGGAAGGGATATAAATACCCAGGCCAACTGGAAGCTCATCGTCGCAGTCACTCTGGGGAGAGACCGTTCACCTGCTCCACGTGTGGGAAGGGATTTGCTCGGTCATCCAGCCTCGTGTCACACCAGTGGGTTCACACTGACAAGAGACCTTTTAAATGCTCTGACTGTGGTAAAAGCTTTAAGAGTTCGAAAGGTCTAATTCAACACCGACCTGTTCACACAGGGGAAAAGTCATTCAGCTGTTCCACATGTGGGAAGGAATTCACTTGGGGATCCAGCCTAATGTCACACAAACGTTTTCACCATGGGGAGAGAGCCTTCATCTGCTCTGTGTGTGGGAAGGGATACACTTCACGGTCCAGCCTAATGTCACACAATCGAGTTCACACTGGAGAGAGACCATTCATCTGCTGTGTGTGTGGGAGGGGATTCACTTCATCATCCATTCTAATGTCACACAGTCGTGTTCACACGGAAGAGAGACCTTTTACCTGCTCTGTATGTGGGAGGGGATTTACGTCATCATCCAGCCTAATATCGCACAGTCGAGTTCACACTGGAGAGAGACCTTTTACTTGCTCTGTGTGTGGGAGGGGATTCACATCATCATCCAGCCTAAGGTCACATAAGTCATCTCATACTGGAGAGAGACCGTTCATCTGCTCTCAGTGTGGGAAGAGCTTCAGTCAGTTATCCAGCCTCACCAAACATCGACGCATTCACAATGGGGAGAAACCATTCACCTGCTCCATTTGTGGGAAGGGATTCACTTGTTTGTCCCACCTTACTTATCACAGGCGTGTTCACACTGGAGAGAGACCATTTGTCTGCTCTGTGTGTGGGAAGGGATTTATTAAATCAGCACAACTTCTGATACACCAGCGTAGTCACACTAGAGAGAGACCGTACACCTGCACCGAGTGTGGGAAGGGATTCACACGGTCATCTGTGCTCAGTGAGCACCAGCGTATTCACACTGGGGAGAAACCTTTTACCTGCTCTGTGTGTGGGAAGGGATTCACTCGGTCCTCCAATCTCAGCAGACACGGGCTTATTCACACTGATGAGAGACCATTTAAATGCTCTGACTGTGAGAAGAGCTTTAGAAGCAGCAATGATTTGATGAAACACCAGCAAACCCATTCTGGGGAGAGGCCGTTCACCTGCCCTGTGTGTGGCAAGGGATTCAATGATTCATCCACACGTCTGAGACACCAACGAGGTCACATGTGATTGTATTCTGCAGTTATTACACCCAGGACTGAACCGTGCTCATTTTGACATCTGGGGTTTACTTCAGTGGATGTGAATAATCTCTTTAACTGCCCTGGTGTTTAATTGTCCAAGTATCAATCACATCAGATTCACAGAGTTTGTGTCCCTGATTTCTCTTCGATTAGAAGAGGCTGACAGATGTCCTGTTACTGATCTGTTCTTGGGCCTTTCCTTCATTGTTAATGCAAGGCTTGTATTTACAAAATGACTTTCCCATATTCAGGATGTCCTAATGTCATTGTGATGTGTAGTCACTGTTGTAGGAGATATAGCAGCTAAATTGTGTGCAGCAAACTCTCACAAACAGAAAGAAGATGGCTGCAAATCCTCAGCTCGTCAGACTGCATCTGTGGGGAGCAAAACAGAATTCACAATAGAAACATGGCTATGACACACACACTCTTTAATAATGATCATTGAGGGATGTATATTGAGCAGTAAACCTGAGAGACGTACTGTGGTGTTTGAAATAACTTCATGGGATTTTTTAAGTCCACCTGTGAGGGCAGATGTGACTACAGTTAAAGATTCCCTCTGAAAGACAGGATCTCTGACAGCGCAGTGCTCCCTCAGTCCTGCATCAGAATATCAACTGAGATTTTATGGTGAAGACTCTGGGAGTTTGAACTCACAACATCCTAACTCAAAGATAAGGTTGTAAACACTGAACATTATGACAAGGTCATTACTCTAGATTATTTTGACCAGACACTTTTGCATGACAGAATTGTTATGGTGTAGAAGGAGACCATTCAGCCCATCATATTAGCACTGAATTTTTGAGTATTCTAGTTCTTACACCTTTGGTTGTTCTCATGGACATGTTCACCCATTGCACTCTTGGTGGGTGTGTTTTAAACATGGTATAATGCTTTCCAGAGCAACATGAGAGCTGATTCTGCAGCACGCATTGTGGAACTTTTTATGAAATCATGAAGCAAACTATGGATGTCAAACATCACAAACCATGACAATATTAACTAAAAAGGGTTTGCCTTTCAATGACTTGGCCTTAACCATTCAGGCCATTTGTTATCATTCAAGACAAAGTGCTTGAGAACAGAAGATCAGAAAGTTACCTCTAAATTAATGGCAAGCCCTTCTGTCTCAGATGTAGAGGCATCGTTTAAAACCACCAAATGTGGACATAATTGTTCTGAAATGTAAATTGATGTGGGTTTCTACCTAAATCATTCAAAGAGAAGTTGAGATGATATTTAAAGGGATAATCAAAATAACAAGAACAAATAATACAAAAACAAAGTTACTGGAAAATCTCAGCAGGTCTGGCAGCATCCGTGAAGGAAAAAATAGAGTTAACGTTTCGGGTCCGGTGACTCTTCCTCAGAACTGCTGTTAACTCTGTATTTTCCTTCACAGATGCTGCCAGACCTGCTGAGCTTTCCCAGCAACTTTGTTTTTGTTCCTGATTTACAGCATCCGCAGTCCTTTCAGCATGTTTTTTAAGAACAAATGATAAACAGTTCAGGTGGTTTCTGGATTTCCAAAAGGTTTGTTTTGGGGAATAATTACTTACAGATTTAAAAAACAATGAGTTTGGTTAATGTTAACAAAGAACAATTCCAGACACAATTGACTCCGATACTGCAAAGTCATCAATGCCACGTCAACATTGATAAACACATTGTGTTAATGTGTTTCAGAATCAGATGGGAATGTTTGTATTCTGTTTGAAAGGTATTGTGAGCATTGAACAGTCATTGTCCTTCAGGGGATCATGAGGGTAACTATAATGGAATGTGCAAAATCGCATGAAAAGAAGTGATTAAGAGTGGGAGACAGAGTTAAGGAAAAACATACAGCACCAAATGGGAATTTGAACAAGTCACCTTGGATGTGATTCAGTAGAATAAAGCATCATGTTGCTGATGGACATTCGAGTGAAAGTATAGAAGAGACTAACATATTGACAGTTTCTCTTAGACATGTTTGTATCTTTGTCTGTGAACTTTTAAAGATAACTGTATTTAATAGTCCAGTCACTGTATGAGATATTAGGAGTGTCGGGGGAGAGAAGCAAAGATCTTTAGAATGAATTTCAGTAGAATGTCACCATATTCTAAATACTTACATTTAGATTGTACTTAAATAGCCTCACAAGGTGAAGGAAGCCATTTTGAGATTATCATTTAACTGAAGACATCATCCTGCAATTAACCAAATGTATTAATTAGTCTCCAGCCAGAAGTAGATGATTGATTAAACAGTGAGCCTTACATATTTGACCCAGTGACAGTAAAGGAAAGGGGATAGATTTCCAAGTCAGTATGGATTGTGACTTGGAGGAGACTTGCAGCAAGTGGTGTTCCTATGTGTCTGCTGCCTTTGTCATTCTAGGTGGTAGAGGTCATGGATTTGGAATGTGCTGTCTTGGGAGCCTTGGTCAGTTGCTGTGGTGCATCCTGTAGATGGTATATACTGCTCATACTGGGGATCCAGAAGGTGCATTACTGACTGTCAAGTTTCCAGCTTCCTACAAACATATGAATTAGGAGAAGATACAGTGAGCCTATTCTGCCAATCAAGAAGTTCTTTGTCCATCTGCTTGTTCTCCAATTCTACATTCCCATTGCTGAACTAAAATCCCTACCTCTGCCTTAAAAATATTCACTGATTCTATCTCCACCACCTTCTGAGACAGAGAATCCCAAAGTCACTCAATTGTCTGATATAAGGAATTCTCCTCCCTCTGTGCCCTGAAAGGGCAACTCCTAATTCTAAAACTGTATCCTCTAGTTCTGGACTCACCCACAAGAGGAAACAACAGGTGCAATTTTACACAAAATCCACCAGGTGTCAATTTCTGTGAATTTTGTGGAACGTTTCTCTCTGTAAGCTAATGCTGTTCAACTCATTAAAAATGCACCACAGGCCTCTATGGTGCTGTGTGTGCTCTTACCAGTGACAGAGGAATTTGACACTTCTAGGATTGTCTGAGATTTTGGCCACCAACTCTGTATTTAAAGCCAAGTTGTGCATCAGGTCAATCACTACCAGCCAAGAAGAGCCCATCACAGTGTATGTAATGAGAGAAAAAAGTATAGGAAAGTTTGTGAGGGCACCTAGATGGCATAGGTGACACTTCAGTGTAAATAGAAACTCACATCTGTAAATACGTTGCCACTTTCTATCATTACTTGTCAGTTTGATTGTTGGAATAATGACGGGTAAAAAGGATCAGACTACCTGCCCTTCTCACCATACTGTGTCAGACCCCTGTCTCTGGGAAGGCTTCTCTTTCCCCAGTGTAGCATTAGAACTTGTTATTGTTCAGTGTTGGAATATCACACGTTGGAAACAGTTGAAACCATTAACTTGAACAACCAGAAAAGCAAAGAAAACAAAAAAAGCAACAGAAGTTGTATTCATTTCTTGGAGAAAACAGGGACTCCTTGTCTTTAGAGTTTCTATCCCTCTAGTTATACCGCTCCCAGCACTACCACATTCCCACTTCCTTCCCCATTTGAATGGCTCCCTGTACAAAGATGCTGTACATGAGAGAGAAGCAGGATGGCCAGCTGATCAGATTGTCTCAATCTTAGTGTTGAAGAAGTCCACATCTTTGCATTTGTTATTGAAGGTGAGGTTGGAGGAGAAAAAGAAACTAACAAGATATTTAAAAAGCCTTAACACACTGTATTGAATACAAAGCTGGTGTAGCTGTTTTTCAGCTGGAACATTAACCCCTAAAATTGGGCTAAAGGTTTTTACTATCAGCAGAAAGAGGCCCAAAATGAAAATGTTTAGTCCTGGCTGTGATGTACAGAAAATGTCAGTCACTCCAGTCATTCATGAAATTGCTGGTGACTCAGCAAGTGGGATGACAAAGTGAATCAATTTCCACTCTCCAAGCAGGTAAACGACCTGCTGGTGTCTGAGCTGGTTGGCTGATTGAGTGAACCCTTTCCCACATTCAGAGCAGGTGAACTGGTGCTTCAGCAGAACAGATGAATTAGTGAATCCCTTTTCAGACTCAGGGGAGATGAATGGTCTGTTCGCAGAGTGAAGTCACTGCTGTGTCAGCAAGTTGGATGAAGTAGTGAATCTCCTCCTACACTCAGAGCAGGAGACTGGCCTCTCTCCGGTGTGAACTCACTGATGTACAGTGAGATCAGATGATCGCTTGAACCCATTGCCACAGTGAAAGCATGAAAACGGTCTCTCTTAGAGTGAGCACATTGCTGGACTATCATTTCTCCAGATCATTTGTGGAATTTCCTGCACTTTGGACATTTAAAATGCCTGTCCTCAGTATGAACCCGCTGGTGTTTTAAAAGGATAGATTACTGAGCAAATCCTTTCCCACACTTTGGGTAAGTGAATGGTTTCGCCCCAGTGTGAACTCACTGGTAATTCAGCAGCTCGGATGAATTAATGAATCCACTGCCACAATCAGGGCAGGTGAATAGTCTCTTCGCAGAATGAATTTGCCAGTGTATCCACCGGCTGAATGATGCAGTAAATCCCTTCCCACACTCAGGACAGGAGCATGGCCTCTCCCCAGTGTGAACTCGCTGGGGTACAGTGAGATCAGACACCATGAGAGCACACAAAGGGTCTTTCATCAGAGTGAATGTGTTGATATAGCATCAATCCCCTAGAACATTTGTAGAACTTCCTGCATTTATTTAATATATTTAAAAGGGACTCCTTTTAAAGATATATAAAATATTTAAGACAGATAAGATATTTAAAAGGTCTCTTCTTGGTGTGACCACGCTGATGTGTCAGTAGGTGTGATAACTGAGGAAATCCCTTTCCACGCTCAGAACAAGTGAACGGCATCCCTCCAGTGTGACTGCATCAATGAATTTCCAAATCAGATGGGCATTTGAATCCTTCTGGACAATCCATACATTTCCACGGTTTCTCCATGGCATGAGTATCCTTAAGCCTCTCCTGGTTTGATGATTAATTCTCCACACAGAGAACATCTGTTCATTTCTCTATGAGAGATAGTAGGAACTGTCGATGCTGGAGAGTCTGAGATAACAAGGTGTAGAGCTGGATGAACACAGTAGGTCAGGCAGCATCAAAGGAGCAGGAAAGCTGATGTTTTGGGTCTGGACCCTTCTTCAGAAATGGGGAAGGGAAAGGGGACTCTGAAATAAATAGAGAGAGGGGAAGGCGAAGATGGAAGGTGGATAAAGGAGCCAATAGGCAGAGAGAAGACGGACAGGTCAAAGAGGCGGAGATGGAGCCAGATAAGGTGAGTGTACGTAGGGAGTTGGGGATGGGGGTTGGTCAGTTGTGGGAAAACGGACAGGTCAAGGAGGCGGGGATGAGGCTAGTAGGTAGGAAGTGGGGGTGGGGGTTGGTCAGTGAGGTGGGAGGAGCGGATAGGTGGGAGAAAAGACTGACAGGTCAAGGAGGCGGGGAACGAGCTGGGCTGGTTTTGGGTTGAGGTTGGAGGTGGGGAGATTTTGAAGCTTGTGAAGTCGACACTGAGACCATTGGGCTGCAGGGTTTCCAAGCGAAATATGAGGTGCTGTTCCTGCAGCCTTTGGGTGGCATCGTTGTGGCACTGGAGGAGGCCCAGGATGGACATGTCGTCAGAGGAGAGGGAGGGGGAGTTGAAGTGGTTCACGACTGGGAGGTGCAGTCTTTTGTCACGAACCAAGTGTAGGTGTTCCACAAAGCAGTCTCCAAGCCTGAACTTGGTTTCCCCGATGTAGAGGAGGCCACATCAGGAATAGCAGATACAATATACTTCATTAGCCGTTTTGCAGGTGAACATCTGTTTAATGTGAAAGGTTTTCTTGGGGCCTGGGATGGGGGTGAGGGGGGAAGTGTAGCACTTCCTGCGGTTGCAGGGAAAGTGCCAACGGTGGTGGGGCTAGTGGGGAGTGTGGAGCGGATGAGGGAGTCCTGGAGACAGCGGTCCCTCCAGAAGGCAGATAAGGGTAGGGAGGTCAGATTGCAGGTGGCGGAAGTAGCGGAGGATGATGCATTGAATCCGGAGGTTGGTGAGGACGAGGAGGATTCTTTCTTTGTTGTTATTGCGGGGAGGGGATGTGACATATGAGTTGCGAGAGATGCGGTCGAGGATGTTTTCGACCACTGTGGAGGGGAAATTGCAGTCCTTGAAAAACAAGGACATCTGGTTCATTTCTCTATGTTGTGAGTCATGTGATGTTTTCTTCAGGCTGGAGCTGCCTTGAGGTCTTTCTGCAGTTGGTGCTCTACAAACACGGTGTGTGCCTCTGTGTTTTCTCCAGTTATTCCGATGTTTGAAATCTTTTCCTACATTCACAGCAGAGAAAGGTTTCTCCTTTCACATTTCCAGGTGGATGATATCCAGGTCCTGAGTGACTTTGCCATTGTGTTTGGTAAGAGTTTTGTTTCTGTGAATCCTTCCCTCCTCACACCCTGTAAATAGAGTATGCAGAAGGGCTCACCCCTGTCAATGCAAGGTCAGAAGTCACATGACATCAGGTTATAGTTCAGCAGGTTTATTTGAAATCACAAGAGTGAGTTAAAGAAAGAAAACCCCCTAATCCCATTTATAAATAAAGAAACAATTTATTTATTTAACCCTAACAATGGACAAGTTAACAGAATCACTAACAAACCAAACCATTCCCCCCTAAGTACTATCTACTCCCTAACTGGTGTAAATTCTACCAGACTGCTGTTCAAATAAATATAATTCTCACTGTTATAAACTCACTTAATAAGACAATGATAAACTAAAACTTCATTTCTCAAGTTTGCACAGACTGTCTTCTGGAACACTTTGCCTTCTCCAGCCTTCCTCCCGTCGATCTCACATCACAATATCTTCCTTTTGCTGTCAGGGATGTTTCTCTCTGAAATTGCTTCTGTGAGAACTTTTAGCTAGAAATGCCATGGTACCGTTTTAATTAGATGGTGCTTTCTCTGAGAGCTAAAAGGTATGGTCACTTGGCAGTTGGCTCTCCCCGATTTTTCAAATGCCCTCATCTTTATACCCGTGATGACACAACAATATTTCTTAAGTAGGATTGGTTCGATGTTGTCACCACCATCAAATTTAAATTTAATAGGTTTTCAGTATCTAAGGGCTAGGTTTAAATTGATTGGCTAAATTTGAAAAGATTTGTTGTCTTAATAAAAATGCTGCTTGGCTGTTCAATACAAAATGTCTCCATTCAGGTGCTCTCTGTGTGCACCTGCACTTCAAGCTGCTGGTCAGACATCCATTTTAACTCTAAGATCTGGAAAAAAAGCACCATCTTTTAAAGGGATGACACACTGCTTTCCCCCACTGTGTTTTTTTAAACTAACAAACTCTAATTTCATTTCTTCCAATTCATGAATACTGTACACAAATTCATAACATTTGGATTCTGTCACATTACAGTTGTTTGCAGATTGTAAAAGATTAATAATCTGGATGTTATTGCATTAATAATCCAGATTCAAATAAATTAATAATTGTTATTAACATCCTACCTGCCATCCTTTCCCCCAGTGATCAGCAATTCTCAGACACCAAACCCCAACTAAAAAAACAATCTTTATTTTTGGGTGACATAGATTCTGAGGCATTAAAAAGACTCAAAAAGTTGGAAAGCAGTGATTTAATACAATCCCTTTTTAGACTTTAAATGCACTGATCCAATTTCTCACCTCTTTATTCACTGTTACTTGTTCTATCTCCCTGAGAGAAATTATTATTATTCGTGGTTATTAGATGTCTTTGTGGTTTTTGATTTGCTATTGACATCTACTTTGCTCCATTCCTTATCCTGCAACTCTCTCGTGTGATGCTTTCACATTACACAGTACAGGAAAGTGGTTCTGGAAAGGGCAGATCAGACCAAAGAGTTTTGAACTGAGGCACTGGTTATAATCAATCAGCTGCAATGGGCAATTCACATCATCTGCACGCTTGACACAGTACTTCCAAAACAAGCTCCTTAATCTGAGTGCGTATCATCAAGGAAAGAAATTTCCAGGTTGGCAGAGAAATGTGTTCAGCATGTTCAAATTATCTGAAAAAAAAATGCAATATCCCCATTCACTTGTGGCAATCTTTGGCCCAATACCATCTAATTTGGAGAAGAAACATCTGTGAAGAAGTCAACTATTTTTAGCAAATCCAACAGGTCCAGATGAAGAACTAAGGTTATCAGTGGAAGAAGCATGTGAAATCTAATCATCACACACACTCACTTCAACAAATATCACCTGACCCACATGTGGCAGTGGTTGTCAATCCAGCATTGAACCATTTAATAACCTGAGGATCCGCAACATTGGAGTGCGAGAAATGCATCCTCGGATCCACGGTGACTGCTAAAGAAGAAGTGTGATTTTACAGAAGATATTGTTAGAACAGGGTTAACATTCAGTACATATTATTCTGGATGCTGTGAATATACTTCTCAGACTAAAAGTATAAATCACTATCCTGTGTACTCTGTGCTCCTCATCCCCAGTCCCCTGCCAAAAGCTGTCACCCAGGTCTCTAAGTCTTTCTGCCTGATATCAGAAAGCTGGTTTGCTATAGCGAGGGGTAGATATCTCAGTAATATCCAGTGACAACCCACATGTCCTGTGGAATGAGTAGCTTAAGAAGCTCAAAAAAACCGGAAGAACTATGGATGTTGTAAATCAGAAACAAAAGCAGATTCTGCACGAAAAACTCAGCAGGTCTGGCAGCATCTGTGGAGGAAAAAGCAAAATTAACATTTCCAGTCCAGTGACCCTTGCTCAGCAGTCCAATGTCCGCACTGAGATAATAGGGGAGCTGGAGGACCAGAATGCATCCGAAGCTTCTCCTCCTTGGTCCAGGAACTCCCTACCTATGTCCGTGACACCACCCATGCCCTCCACCTCCTCCAGAACTTCCAATTCCCCGGTCCCCAACACCTCATCTTTACCATGGACGTCCAGTCCCTCTACACCTGCATTCCCCATGCAGATGGCCTTAAGGCCCTCCGCTTCTTC